TCAGCTGACAGGCGAAATTCATGAACAGAGGCGCAAGAGGAGCGAATGAAATAAAAATGCAATGAATGGAAAATAGACTAAAAGCACACACACACGCAAACGCACACGCACACACACACACACACACACACACACATTGGGTACAAATCAAAGCCGCAAAAAGAGTGTCGCATGCATAGGCGACGTGCTTGGCATGATGTTGCTCCTCTTGTTGTTGCTGCTGCTCTTCTTGTTGCTGTTGTAGTAGCTGTTCTGCTCCTGTTGCGGGCATCATCAAGTACCGTTAAACATGCCCCACGCATCAAAGTGAAAATACCGCAAATACCTAAAAAAAACAGCGCGCGCACACACACACACACACACACACACGCAAATATGTACACACACAGACATAGCGGCGAGAAGAAATAAAGGAATATGAGTAACCAAAATACATGCGGCGGCATAAAAGCAAGCAACGAGCAGCGAACCACTGGTGGTGCAAAAACTGTTCCCACTGTAAACGCACTGTTTTGACTCACTGTTAGCGCCCTGTTAGAGCCCTGTTGGGTCACTGTTAAGGGCTGCCACATTTAGCTCATTGCTGAGACGAGCTGAGCCTCGTCTGCGTCTGCGCAGAGCGTGCTCGCAAAGAGCATCGTCCTTTTTAGCACATGGCACGAAGTGGAAGACTCGAGGCAAGCAAGTTCGGCTTTTAGCACCATTTGTGACTGCCGCAGCAAGGACTAGCAGTCATTTAGATGGCCGCAGCCATTCATATAGGAAGTCGGCCTGTGAGTGTGCTTGGAATATTCACTACTATATTGCGTATACGTAATATTTTAAATGTTATATCAAATGCATAAGTTTTCCATTTGCAATAGCTGGCTAGTTTCCGACCGCTGTCGTCCCTTGTCTTCTGTTGTCGTCGTCATCGTCGTCCCTGTTGTTCCTGCACACATCCACGAAAATCTCTTGAATTATTATCTTTATGAAAATGCACTTGTCAGCAATCTAAAAGCATACCAGAGTAGGACACACGGCTAGGCTAGGCTGGACTGAGTTGGACTGGGCTCGACTGAGCTGGCTGGCTGTCTGGCTGGCTCCTCCTTGCCTCGATTTGCAACGCCTGTCAACGGCTTGCCTCGTGCTCCATTGCAGTTATGAGTTGCTTGAGCAAATGCACTTCAAAAACTTGCTGCCAACTGATTGAGCTGCCCGGCAACGGCAACTTTGTCTTTCCCCCAGTATCTACTACAGTTCCTCTCTGCCACTGGTTCCTTCTGTTTGGCAGCCACGTCTGCTGTTTATGTTGAGTTGTGCTCATTAGTGCAACGTTTATAATGATAATTTGGCTTGCCAGCGGCCCCAAAACAGCCAATGCCTCCCCTCACCACGACTCGCCCTGCCTTGCCTTGCCTTGCCTTCCCTCGCCCCGTCTTCTTCTCTCGCATATTTCAAAAGCATTTCTCCTTATGGCTTAAGCCAACGACAACGCCAACATCAGCAGTAGAAGCACGAGCGAGACAGGACTCGCTCCTGCTGCAGCAACACAAATTTTATTGAAGTGAATAAACTAGAATGAAATGCAATGACAAGTTGGGCTTGCATTTAAAATTCTTTGGAATTTCTTTGAGCTTACATCGAGTGCTGATGAGCGCTTTGTTTAATTGTCACATAAAATGCTGTGAAGCGCAACAGAGGAAGAACCTCTTTCAAACGGACCCAAAGACAAGGTGCAAGACTTAGTGCAGTTCATCTACTTCATACTTAATGAAATCTGCTTCAAAAATAAATTCAACTGAGCTATAACTGTGCGACTGTGAAGAGCCCCTCTGCCTCTCCGCCGTTTCCAAATACTTATTATCTTTGAGAATAATAATCTTTTCGTATAGCCATCTAAAACAAACACAAAAACCTGCACTCCCACAGTCCGTTTACACACAGACAAATGGAATTTTCCTTTAAAAGGGCAATGTGACGCGCATGAAATATTTAAGGCCCTACATTTCATTTAACAATTCCTAGCTTTTTACCCACACACTCGTAACTTCCTCCTCTAATGGCTCAACTTAATATTTACATATTTACATATATAGTAGTGTTATGGAAAACACAAGCTGGTCCTTAAACTTTTGGTGCTCGTGCTTGAACGAACAATATAAAAAACAATGAAAACAAACAATTAAAGCAACAAAGTTTGCTTGCCACTAGAATTATTCATTTGCCCTCGATTGCCAGACTGTGCTAGAGGTGTTAATACTCTGCTGTTTGTGGTGTTTCGCAGATTTTCTACACTTGGAATGTTTTAATGCAGAATACATAAGGCCCACAATATGAGTTCTTTGCAATTAGCCTCCTCGGCCTCCTCGGCACCTCTCACAAGAGTACACAAAACTTATAAGCTGCTTCCAAAGTAAACATACCTTTACAAGTACAAAAAATTGGAAAAACAAACAATAATTTTGGTCAAATCCATTCATTTTATCCCCCAACGGACTCCATGTTGTGATTGCACGGTTGGCCGCGATGGCCTTCAGGATTTGTACCGACATCCTGAAGGGCTAGGCCAGCATAACGGTTTCCTTTCATCGGAAAATGTTTCACGCCAGTTTTTGGCAGCATCGTCGATAATCAGGAATTTTAAATGGTTGTCAAAAATTATATATTCTTGAATCGTGTATACCACTCGGGATTCTGCCACGAGCAATACAATTCGCACCATAAGCTTGTTATATCAATTGAAAGGTATTTAAATACTTTTGTGAGGGACTGAGAGAATGTTTACGTTTATCTTTGATGATGGAGGTAACGAAATAACCACCATACTACTACACCATAATACTCCACCATCGACTGCAGCTGAACAGCAAACATAATAATCGGGAATCTCCTGTTTATACCTTATTTTATGGATATGTGCTGACCTTTGTTTTCCAATCTCCACCATGGGAAGTTCGGTTAACAATAAATGTATGAATTACAAAAATTGCTGATCTTACTAACTAAAATCTGAAATGGCTAAGAAATATTTCCCCACTGGGTCAGAGACTAACAAATTCGATTTGTTCTCCATCTCGCTCTCTCTCTCTCTCCTGCAGTTAATTATATATTTATTTCGATTCTTTTATTAATTGAAAATAAAGTCATCTTATTTCGTTTAATAGATTAATAAATTGTTACCTGTTTGTTTTTAGTTTTTGCTCTTTGTTGGATACATTTGGCTGCGATTCTGGGCTTATTGGTCTGTGATATGCCCCAGGCCACTATTTTAGTGGAATTAGCATTTCCTACTTTGAACTTATATCTCCTAGAGTGCCTATTGAATGAAGTGTGTTGAATTGAGGCTATCAGCATGGTTTTAATCCATTATTTTGAGTCCTTTTTAAAATCTCTTCCATAAGGGACGCAGCTACAAAATCAAGCTGTCCAATGGATAAGCCCCCGGCTCATCGCCTGAAGCGCCCATACCTCTGAGCTGTTGCAGCACCCGAACATAAAAACATGTTTATAATATACAAATACTCGTACACGTGAGTTGCTGTTCATTGCTGCATTTCCAGCGGTTTCACACGCAATTAACATATTTTCCTTCTCTCTGTTTCATTAAAATTTGGTTTGCGTATTTGTTCGCCCTCCCGCCCTTATCCTCGCTGTGTGAGGGATGCGCTTTTTAACATTGTAGCTGTTCTTTTTTTTGTGGCCACCCTACACGTGCACTTTTATTTATTTGTTTTACATTTTTATTCAATTACTTGTTCAAAGCACCCGAACCAGCTGCTAGCTACTAGCTGCTAAAGCCGATCTGCCGGTGCCGCCCACCTCCGAGCACCGCCTGCGGAGAAATAGCAACCGGGGAAAAAATGTACGATTTTTATAGCCGCGTGGCTGGCGCGATTAAAAAATTAACAATTGTAATTGATAAACAATTTGTGGCATTATGAGCGAGCCGCAGCGGCAACACCAGCAACAGCAACAGCAGCAGCAGCAGCAACAACAAAAAGACAAACACAAACACCACAACGAGAACAACAATAACAATAACCACAATAATACAGCAGCGGCAAATAAATCGGCCAATAGTCGAAATGAGCAAAGTGGCGATGAGCGCCAAATGCGCCGATCGCGTTAATGACCAAAGTAAACACAGAAAAAAATACAACAACCACATTAACATCAACAACAAAACGGCACGGGCATACTACTATATATTCGTTTACAAAATTATGCAAAAAAAACATGCAAACAAATTATTAAAACATTTTTAGTGGCTGGCAGATGAGCAGCGGTGCAGTTTTCGAGGCATTTGGGGCCATGGTGTCGTTTTATTTACTTTTTTTTTTCAATATAAATATGGGCTATATACTTCATATATAATTAATTACATGTATTGAATATAAACTTGCCTAATTATTGTTAATATTATTATTATTTCTTAAACGAAACACATCGGCTGATATTAGAGGTAGATGAAGATAGTGAGTATAGTAAATTGTTGGACTGCACTTAGTCTTCAAAGTAACGTGCTTGCGGTTAGCGAAGAACTGTTGTTTCGAAACTCCTGGGGCTGTAAAGAATTTTGTTGTAATATAAGATAACTATACGACCGTAAAAAAAATTGAAATTGTGCCCGCGGTACATAAAACAGATAGACACAAGCAATTTTTTCAAACCCAAATTCCCGACGCGGAAAAACATGTAGCGTACGCCATCGGCACAAAAAATCCCCGAAAAATACTCTTAAATATGTATGTTTCTAAGAAGATGAGCCGATGCAATAACTCTACGTCTCTGGTATATTTATAGAAGGAATAAATAAACAAATAGGTTTCACTATAGTACGTACATGAAACCAGTCTCGATGTTTTGCGATGCCAACACCAACGCCAACGCCGACGTCGATGTCGACGCAAACGCCGGCGCTCCACTCTGATCAGCACTCATCAGTATTCCAGCTGGCTGCTTTAAATCTAACGGGGCTGACTGCTAACTGACTACATATATAGGCGTCGGGTGAAATGCGATTCCAATTTAGTTTCCACTGAGCTGCCGTCGGCACATTGGAGATAAAGATGCGCATTCCCGTCGTTCTGGTGTGTCTGGTAATAGGCAGTTGCTGCTTCACTCACGTCCGAGGAGGTCAGTGTGTCTACGTAGTCCACAGTTAGTCGGAGAAATCATACTTAATTTTTTTCCAAACCCCCACAGCCCCGCCAACGCCTGAAGACAACAGCTCAAGCACCACAACAGCCACTCCCAACCTTGAGGAGAGGCAGCCGGCAGATAAGGAATCAAGTAGCAACACCACGGCCACACCTAAGTTGGAGGAGCAGGAGACGGCAGATAAGGAGTCAAGCAGCAGCACCACGACCCCTCTTCAGTTGGAGGAGAAGGAGGCAGCAGATAAGGAATCAAGTAGCAGCACCATAACGCCAGACGCAGAGGATGCTGAGGTGAAACAGTTGCTAGAACAGTGCGAGACGCTGCGCAGGAAGCGTAAGAAGCGTGGCGGATCCTCTTCATCCGAGGAAAGCGATGGAAGCGATGGCAGCGATGGCAGCGCTGGGAGCGATGAGAGAAAGTCAGAGAAAAGGGAGCGCAGAAAGCTGAAGAAGATGTGCAAGCGGCTCAGAAGGGATCAGGAACGCAAGGAAAACAATCAGCAAGACGTCAATCTCACTGAATTGTCCGAAGCCTTGCGCTCCTACAGCAGCCGTCAAAAGACAAGGAGCGGTCAATAAATATTACCAGTTTTTTTTCTTTCGAATATAAGTACTTGAGATTTATGTTTGTTATGGTAACATGCAATTACAAGTATTATGTCAATAAAACAATTCAATTAGTGTTATTGTCAAAAGCGGCACGATAAGTGGAAGCGAAAAGCTCTGAATTACACATGATTTGAGATTTGAAAACTATAACAGGTTTTGTCATGATACGCCAGAAAGCCATTTACAACAGAATTCAGAATTCAAAGCAAACAATACACGCGCTAATGAAAGCAAGAGAGATTGCTGCAGTCGAGCGAGTCCGGCAGTGAATACCCTCTACAAACAATTTCCCCTCCTGCAGTACTGAAGTGAAATTGTTGCGCTAATAGCTTTGGATAAAAAGAAAGTTGTTATGTGCAAAGTTCGGTTAATACAGCAATGTGTTAATAATTAATAATAAAAAAATAAAAAATATACAAATAAACCCGTGTTGCCCGTTGTTCACGCAGACGGTCGGAAATTTCTAAATCGATTTCTCTCTTCTTGCTGATCAAGAATATATATAATCTATGGGGTCGCAGATGCTTTCTTCTCCCTGTTACATTCTTGGCTCAAAACTAATATACCCTTTTACCGTTCGGGTACAGGGTATATAAATAGATCGTGAGCCCCCAACACCAAAACACTTGAACGAGTGCTGAGGGCTACTGTGGGAGTTCTGGACAAAGACATTCCGAAAGAAAGAGCCGAAATATGTGGACCTGTCATACGATTTAAATACTCAACTCCCAAATCGTCAGTTGTTGTTTTTATTCAAAACTGTGTTGAGGCTGTGCCCATAATTATTAACATATTCATTTTGTTAGCATTTCAAATTGAGCTTTTGAGAATAACGAAGAAAGAAGAATTAAAACACTTTAAATTAAAAATTCTTTTACCGATTCTAACAAAAGAGAACTAAATCGTTATACTATTTACATAATCAAGTAGATATGAATGTGATATGAATTGCTTCCAAGCTCTTCAAATTACTCGTCACGAGACCAAGACACCAAGAAGTGTCTATATCCCGATATTTGATCAGAAAATCTGCTTGCAGATGCTGATTCCTTTTGTTGGAGGTTTTGTAGCTTTTTTCCACTAGTGTCGAATATTTAAAGAGACAAAGCAACCTGTGCAAAGGTATCGGAAAACTGACTGGAAAACTATTAAAATCAAAGGAGAGGTCAGTAATACTTCGATCGCATATATACATATGTATATTTGCTTACTAAAGCTAAATGGACAGAACATCATAATATTTATACAAGTAATTGGCAACTTATCCGACTCGGAGGCAGGTATGCCCGACGAGCTATGTGAGGTCGTCAGAGATTTAATTAGCACATGATTTGAAAAACCTAGTTTTCTGTTGTCTATTATAGATGGAGGAAAGCAACAAGCACACTAGGTACAAATAGTTTATTCAATTTGCGAAGCAGTCGCTGGTGATTATCGGCGATTTCTGTTGATCTTCTCGCTGCTGTATTGGCGCGCAGCCCTTGAACCTTATTAGCATAATCAAAACGAAAACCGCTTGTGAGCGTGTCGATCGAGAACAAGATGGCAAAAACAAAAACAAAATCAAAAACAAAAATGATAATGAAGCTGGGGACAGCTGGAAACTGTAAGCTGGAGGTAGAATAGGAATCAATATGCCGTGGACGAGCGTTGACCTCAGCGCGTAGCCAGAACTTGCGGAAAAGAAAGCAATCGATGGTTGGTCGACCGGTCGCACCGATGGTAATTCTTGGCCCGATGGCGGCGGCCCGTTCCCCCGACTTGGCAACCAGCCACCAGCTGACCACCATTAGACGTGCTTTGAACTTTCGGCCGGCCACTAATTACGAAAGCGTTTGCAGAAGAAGAATCAAATCGACGGTCGCTGCTCGCAGATCGCAGCTCGCAACTCGCAGCCATAGCGAAATGTGCCGTTAGGGAATGATTTATGCGCGATCGAGAGGTCGCCTCAGAACTGGCGAAACAGAATTCGGAAAGAAGTTGATATAAGTGCCGCGTGTAACGCTCGAGCGGACTCAGTTGCTTCGCACAACCGTAACGATGAAGTTCGCAATACTACCAAATCAATATATGGTGCTGGTGCTAGCGCTGGCCCTGGTCTCAATGGGTCAGCTATCACTGGTGAGCGGTAAATTTTTTTGTACACTTACTCCATTGCACGCAATGACAACTAATGGTGAATCGACTGCTCTTTCCCCCACTCTACCTTGAAGGCCGCGGTGCTTCCACGCCGGCACCCCTCGCCACGTCTACGGTGAAGCCCACAAGTGCTCCCAAGATGGAGGCAGCGCACACCAAGCCCACCAGGCCGATGATGATCATTAATGCGCCCCCTCAGAAGCAGAAGCATCTGGTGCCTGCGAACGTGCCGGCTGCCGAGCCTCAGACTGTTGTGGAACAACTGCCTGTTGGCCATGCTGAGCATCTCGAGCCGATGCATCTGAAGTCAACCCCGCTGCAGGTCAGAGATGCCAAGCCACTGCAGGTGACCGGCTTCATCACCAAGACGGGCAACATCTACGAGATCGAGGATCAGAAGGGCATGGGCGTGATCGAGAGTCGCCAGGCTGCAGATGAAGAGGGCCAGATTGTGTGCAACTATGGCAACGTGATTATCTACAGTGATGTGCCCTGCGACCAAGTGAGCAGCAGCATCCAAGTGGGTGAGGTTCAGCAGCTCTCTGGCAACAAAAATGACTCTGACCAGCAAATGAGCGCCGAAGCAAGCACCGAGAAACCCGTCGAGGAGGCGGAGCAGCAGGCGCCCGCAGCAGATGCAGCAGATACAGCAGTTGCAGCCAATGGTTCCAACACGCCCCGACAGCAGAGTCAACGTCAAGGTCAGCGGCAAGGTCAGCGGCGTCGCCGACGTCGCCCTCAACAGCAGAAGCTCAAGCAGCAGCGCCGACGTCGCAATGGTGGTCGGCGTCGCATACAAGGTCAAAACAGCCACGCTCGCCGCCAGCTGCAGCAGCTGCGTCGTCGCAAAGGACAGTACAACTATTACGATGATGACGAATTCGATGACGAATACGATGGTGTACGTCGACCTGCTCGACGCACGCAGCAGCAGCGTCGTCGAGGCCAGAAGCAACATCGCCGGAAGAACCAGCAGAAGAATCGTCGTCAGCAGCAGAGGCGTCGCCCTCATTCGGGACGTCGCCAAATAGTGCGTCAGACCGCTTAGGTCTCGCATTAACAATTTTTTGTAGCTCCTCACTCTACATACTCGTATCTCCCAACCCCCCTTCCTCAGGCAATCGAATAAAATGTAACCCACAAAAGAGTGTTGTGCACTTTGCAGCCGCAGGGCCGGGATTAGACACGTCGTGGATTTGTGGGCACCCTTTCTGAATACTCTCTGTGCTAGAGAGTGCCGCATTACGCAGCATTTTGCCAGGACACAAAAGGTGGCAATTAAAAATATGACCACATACAAGTACAGAGGTCAACAGCAAAGACAAAACAGACAAGAACTGAAATTACAATTACAGCTTGTGTTGCTGGTTGAGCTCCGAAAAGGTGCGAGTGCGGACACATAACAGTGTAGGGTTAAGCCAAGCCACAACTCATCCTCCTGTTATATGAGTAGAAAAGGTGCAAAGTGCTCGCAAAGTCGCCCACTTGGCTTTTTGGTCGATGTGCTTGACCAAATTCAGGAGTAGACAACAAATACAACCACAACTAGTCAGAGTCGTGGAGTAGGAGAGTAGGAGCCGGAGAAGCACAAAGCAAATGCAACTTAACCTGAGGCGTCTGTGTGTGTGTCTGTCCCTGTGGCTCTGTGTCTGTGTCTCTGTCTGTTGCCCACAAATGGAAAATTGTGGTATAATTCTTAGTTTCTACTTTTGTTTTTAAACATTCGCTATTCTGGACAGCTTTCCATTCTGCCATAGTCGTATGTGAGACATATTCAATTTATGTGCATCTCCTGGACTATTATTTGATGGCAAATGTATGTGTGTCGGCCTGAACAGCCACATAGGCCCAGAACATATGCATTGAATAAACGAAACATGTCGTTAGAAATCGGTGTTGGAGTTGATGTTGCTGTCAAGAGTTTTGGTTAGAAAGAAAACGCAACTTCATCATTTCCCCCCTACACTGAGAAATTAAGTAAAACTCAATACTACAGAGAAAGAGTATTGGAAATTAAAATATGTAGGCTTCTTGGTCAAATCTGGCAAGTCCCGAGTCATTTTCTTTCACATTCACAATTTTAATGTTTTTTTGATTAATCATCGGATACAAGCACAAAGCAGGACTTAATAATACTACAAATTATTGATAGTACATCCAAATGCATGTGTCCAATAAAGATAGTCGATTATTGGGTATCACAACATACTATACACAGTAGTGCAGGGAACAAATTATTATTATTATTTTGTCGTTACATGACAGTTTGACAATTTTATAAATGAGACTATTTTTATTGGAAATGTAAGACTAAGAAATCTTTTAAATCGTCCTTTATGCGATTATGATAGCGCCGTGATTTAAGCCGAGTCACATACTCTGGAACGAATACACATTGTGACAGGCCCCAAAAAAATAAGTGATATCAATTTGGTGCCGAATAATTAAGTGTCTTCAATTCAATTACTATGAATCTTGCAGTGAGATGGGAAAATAAGTATGTATGTGTATCGAAATATTTATTTATTGAAGATTATCATTATCATTGTTTATAAAATTTCATGGTGATGTTTGGGGTGTTTTTGTCTTTTTAATAACATATGTATCCACAAATCAAACCACCTATTTGGCGTTAATTCAACAAGTTGTAGCAATAAGGAATAATTAATTTAAAACACAATGTGATGATTTTATTTTCTGTGTAGAAATCATAAACAGGCATCTGCAAGTATGTTTGGGAAAGGGCTAACTGGTTTATGCCTAGCGGATCGTTGTTTCATATTATTTTTTCTGTAACGTCAGCGCTTGATGCTGCTGTTGCTGTTGTTGTTGTTGTTGTTGTGGTTGTCATTACGCTGCGTCGAACACTTGAGCACATTTGGCACCATTTCGGGCTTGCCCCAAAGTGTGGGGAGCCGAGTCGGTGTCGTAGAGAGAATGCCGCGTCATTTTCAATGGAACGGCAGCGTCATCAACGTCGCCACAGCATCTTTCCTGCATGAGATGTGTGACCGCCTGGGCGCTGCGCACTTAACACATAAACCAAGCAGCGATGGCAGCAACAACAACAGCAGAGCAAACAACAACAATGGTGTGTAGCCCACGAAGCACACCAAGAAAGTTATTCAAAAGTCAACCAACTTTCTTTAAAAACAAAGAAAATCGTTAAAAGAAACAGCGTCGAGGAGCACACAACAGCATTGCTGATGTTGCTGCTTCATTTATGCTGTTGCTGTTGCTGTTACCCGCCAATGTTGTTGTTGCTGTTGTTGTTGTTGTTGTTGTTGCTGTGGTTACTGCTGCTGCATAAAACTTATAAAGCGTCATCGGTGCCCCCAACAAGAAGGCGACTGCTGTTTTTCCTTTGTTGTTTGCATGCACAGACACCCGAGGAGCATATCCACACACCCACACAAACAGACAGACACACACACCCACATACTTGTAGTTGCCTCGCGAACCTCAACCTCAACTTGACTCAACGACAGACTGAGCCGAGATATGCTTCTTGGAGTCGTTGGCGGTTCTCTCCAAGGAGCCATCAAAGTGTGTATGGCACCGACGTCAACCTCGGCAACGACGTTGAAGTTGACGGTGACGGTGACGGAGACGGTGACGGAGACGTCGGCTTCTCTGTCGCTATCTCTATCTCTATTGCTGTCGCTGTCGCTGTCGCTGTCAGTATCGTTGTCATGCGTTGAGCCTGCAAGTTTATCACCTCATCGTTTGTGCACACTGCATTCAAGACTCCGAGTTATTGTTATTGTTGTGGCTGATGCGGTGCATACCGCTGCCTACGGCACGAAGCTACTCAGCTGGGAGTGCGGAGTGGGAAGTGGCAGCAGCTGGTTGGTGGGAGGGGGGAGAGGGGCTGGGGGGAAATTGCTAGTCATAAAATGCATAAGCAAATTTCAGCGCATGCCAAAGTTCATCTCCAACCTGGCACTGTAGTGCACTTTCAAGGGGGGACGATGCGACTAAATTGCTGTCGAATGCTTCCTATAACTACAATATTTTGACAAAGAATCGCCTTAACGATGTCGCGAAGAGCACTTATATAAAGGCCATACGAGGGAATAGTTGCATGCAACTGTTTTATGAAATTCGGCTAATTATACCCTGTGCCCCTAGGGTACAACAGCTATATTAGGTTGTGCTAAGTATGTAAGAGGCAGAAGGATTCATCTTCTACATTCACCAAACTTCGTATATACTTGTAGAGTCTCCTAATATCCAGGCAATACAAGTTTCTTTTATTTATTTATTTTTTTTATTAAAGAGCTCCGTTTGCTCCCCCCTGTGCCAACAAACAAAATAGCTTCAGCTAACTCACGCTATGGCTTTAGAGAATGCATCTCATGTTTATAAGGACTAAGCTAGATTAGTTTCTTGAAAATATTGCAGTAGTACATACCAGAGCATTTGCTGGAATATCTCCCTACTCCCTGCAAAGCCCATTTCAAGCGAGCATTATTGGCCAACAAATGGAGATATAGTCTTAACCTAACCTGGCTTTAAACCACAGATTGCTCATCTCTTGGAAAACTTAGTGAGACCTAAGCAATAAGCAAACACGATAAGTGTCGGGGTCGCCAAAAGGCAACTAACTAGAGCTAAAAACCTTCAATGCATAGATAGTCCCAAGACAGGAGGAGACGGTTTATACATCGATCTAATTAAAAAGATAAATACATTTCAACGCCTGAGATGCATTTTTTCAATCCTGCTACGAATTTGATCCATTTTGGCAATATCTCACAACAACACAATTGAATTCTAGAACTTAAGAGGTGAACACACTATTTAAGCAAAAAAAAATATAAAAAAACAACGTAAGGGATAATGTGGCGCTTCAATATATGCATGCAAGTTATAGAGAAATGCCTGATGGCTCAAGTCAAGTGGAAGGACCGGCGTCTGTCCTTTCGTTATGTATTCATCGTATACGAGCCAGAACGGTTCATTGAGACCTTCCACTAGGCACCGGGTGATTGGAATGGCGTGGAGGGAACGGAGCTGCTTTGGACCCTGCCCCCAAAACAGAGAGAGATAGAAATAGGAGAGAGAGAGAGAGAGAGAAAGAGTCGTACATTGGGCAAATTTCGGTTCAAGATGTTTGCGCTTCTTATGCAATTCGCGGCTTATCTCTGTCTCATGCGATTCCAAATTTGTGTGTAAAGCCTAAGTAACAAAAGCTAATATTGGCAGAGCGAGAGACTTGAGTTGTAATGACGCATTGCAAGCCAGTGTCGTGTGGTAGGGGATGAGCGAGGCCGGGGATGGCAGGCATCTAGGCATCCAGACAAGTTACTTGTTTGACGTGCTTATCGACGCTGTGTATCTGGGCATGCCATGGCCTTGGCAGTCAGGCAATAACTTTTCCAAACACAAATCCTTAGGTCAAAGAGTTGGTCCAACGACGAGGTCAGTGATATCGATGGCGATGACGTCGACGAATGACGGCGGCGACGATGACTTTGACGCATTATGCTGACCCAGAACACATAATCGCTTACAGATAAAGCAGTTTAATACCGCGCATTACGCGACGAATAACAAACACTGTCGACGCTCGTAACTTGCCATTCGATGGGTTTTGGGTTCAGAACAGAACTCAACGTTCGTCCCAAATGTGCTGTGCGCTGTTCTGTCTGACTGTCTGGCTGTCTCGTATGTGCCACTTAAAAACTAGTTTGTAGTGGCGAAAGCCGATGATGAAACCAACTTCAATATGTATTAAACAGTTAGTTAGTTTTGAACTTTTGATCGGATTGAGCAATGACCCAATCGCAAATGTAGATTCCCAAGTGGCTAACCAAATTATTCATTAGATTCTTTTGAGAAATGTATGTCTAAGCGCGTCCGCTAACTTTTAAGTTTAGATATAAATTTTAAAATTTGTTCGAAACAGCCGACACCTGTTTGAATTTGAAAGTGTCACTGCTACTTTAAAATCGGAAATACTCAAAACAGTCCACGTTTTAAAGATATCGATGAACCAGAATTAAGTACATGTTAATTAAAAATGTTATTTACAGCGCTGAAAAG